ATTTCAAACACCCCTCTTACTTCTTCTCTGTGGTGATAGAAAGATGACCCCAGCCACAGTGAGGTCAATGGCTTTAGAAAAAACTGGCGCCCTCTGCTGTTGCGTTCGTTAAGTGGTCTCTGACAACTGTCAGCTTGTATAGTCGGTTAGACCCCGATTATCAGATGACACCACATTTTTACATCGTTTAAAAAAAAAAAAAACATATCCGGGCCAATACGGTACATGTCAAGGTTTGGTTGTGGTTTGGAGGACCCAAATGCAAAGGCAGAGAGGCTGAGGAGATTTCTTGGAGTTTAATGGGGCAAAAACAGTAAACAAAGGCAGGAATCCAAAAATCCAACTAATAATGAAATGCAAACCAGAACTATGGAGACATCTGGGGAAACCTGAAACACGAGGAGCCAGGGAGAGACGAGGTAGGTAGACAACAGCATGAGAGGACAGCAAAGACAAGGAACCAACAAAGAGTGACAGCAGAGGGAGAATATATGTAGCTGACTGAGACAAAGGCAGGGTTAACGAGCGGATAAGGAGCAGGTGTGAGTGGAGACAACAAGGGAGCCAAGAGGAAAGGAACACACACAAAAGGGCAAAAGAGGACAACAACAGAAAAACCCGAGAACTAACAAAAATCTAGAAACTACAACAAAATAGGAATTAAACCAATAAAACTAGAAAACAAGGAGCAAAGTAAAGTTCAACAGAACCACGACCATGACAGTACATCTGCATCTGCAAAGTGTAGCATAGTCGGAGAACACTCTGTCTTCAATACCTTCGCTCCATTTAATTAATTAGCTAAAATCTCCATTAATAGTTTTTCTTTTTTTTTTTTTTTATGTATCCTTGCAGATTTTTATCTTTCAATATTTTACTTTTATTCATTTTATGTTTTCAGTTGAAATAACATCCATTTGGCCAAAACTACTAACAGTGTTTTTTTCTTTTTTATCCCTTCTGCAATATTTCCTTAGCATGGGTCTGACCTTCAGCTAAAGACCAGCGCATCCAAAGAAACCGCAGATCTCAAAGTGTCCAAAGGAAGTTCTGCTATAACAGAAAGGAGCATGATTCCACCATACAAGCACAGTTTCAGCTCAGAGGTAAAAAATTTTAGGGAGCATCCAATTTCATAACATCTTAGCCACTTCCTCCTTTTTCTATCTCCTGTTACTTCACTTTTGTGGAATCTTATTCTGTCGTTGCCAAGGAGCCTCTGGACTGCTTTGCAGATTCTAGTCGGCATTTAAATTTAATCCAGGTCTTCGTAAAAAAAAATGTTAAATGCAAATTAAGGGTATTCCTTACCCAAACCTAAACAAGAACATCTGTATGTGTCATACACAATTCACATAAAGCAATAATGTATTTGTGTTAATTTCCATGAGGTGGCATGGGCTTATAGATCATGTCACACAAAGCTCCTTTGCACTAGTGAGGAAACTCTCAAGCTTCCTCCTTTGCTAAACCTGATAAAAAAGCATAGAGACTCCTTTTCCTACCTTGTTCCTTAATGCAAGTAGTATTCAGCTCCTCAGCTGAACATATATATATATATATATATATATATATATATGTATGTGTATATATATATGTATATGTGTATATATATATATGTATGTGTATATATATGTATATGTGTATATATATATATGTATATGTGTATATATATATATGTATATGTGTATATATATATGTATATGTGTATATATATATG